TAGACAGAATGTCTTTCATCGATTAGATTGTACCGAACGTTTAAGATTTATAATAGTAGCAACTAATCACGATGTTGTCCCGTCAAGATAATTTCTTCGATCGAACGTTTCGCGTTAATTAAGCGAGTCGTTAATCTATTTATTATCGTTTTCGTTTTTTCTTGCGCGGTCATTACCGCCAGCTTGTCCAATATACTATTTGAGTAGCGCATAAAACGAATAAAAGAAAGAAAAAAAAGAAATTGTTATGCAATGTAGGCAACGAGATTAAGATCGAAATTCGTATTTTTATGAATAAAGTGAAACTGAAATATACAATAAGTTGTAAAATGCAAGAAATAATTACGATACTACTTATGGAATTACCTGATACTAGGATATAAATTAATACATCATTTTTGTCGACGCGGGACTTCAACCCTTGTGCAGGCTATCGGCATTGATATCATTAGGTATTTCTTGGTACATTTATGGCGATTTATGTTTTCAGAATAAAAATTTTAAGTATTAAAGCTTCGATGGGTATCCAGGTGCCTGCACAAAGGTTAAGCGACGTAATAACTTTTATTTCGCATATTGACGGACAACGGGGATGCAAGAGGGGTGCTCCCGACTCGGACAAACACTCGGCTAATGATATGTAAATATGGCGGAGCTAATCAAGCGGCTGTGCTAACAGGCAGCAAGAAGAGATCGGTAGTGGCGCGCGAGCGTTCGATAGCCAATGCATTTGCGCTGGCCCTCACACACACATACACACTCACGCGTATCGTGGCGCAGTAACTCGCGTACATATTTAATGGTCGCACGTTAATTGCGCTCTGTTTGCCCATTCCCCATTCTACTCTTCATCCCCATACCTACCACCATTCTCGTCACCCTTTCTCTACCCGCCCTTCTCCTTTGTTAGTTTCTGCCAGAGTTTAATTTTAACCAATTTATCTCGGACGCTCGATCGTTTATCATCGAAATTGCACGTAAAACGCGAATCACGGCTCAACTAGACTACCTTCCGCTTCATTTTTCTTTTCTTCTTCAACGCTTTTATAACCGTAGTTTTTTAATCTTGCATATCATTTTTATTAACTTTTTCGACCTGACATTGGTGTACTGTATCGACATATTAATTTTTGCTACGCTACATTAATTTATAAAATTGTCGAAGCTTATTAATACGAAATTGAAATATTAAAATTACTATTAATTCTTTTTGTTTATGTTTTGCAAGTACTTACGGTAGTTTACTTAACTGGTAGCAAGTGGTAGGAAGTAAACATAAAGGATTAGAAGATAAGGTCACAATCTCTATGATACGTTACCGTTCGAATGTTGATCCTCTAGTTCAGTGTTCTCGCGCCAGAGGGACAGACGTCAGTGTTTGTAATTTTTCTATGCGAACAGTTCAAAGTCGTGGTGGATAGAAGTTGTTTCACGTGTGGGTCGAACGGTGTTCGTTTCTCTTACGATCAATCAATCAAATTGAAACATCGTAATAGAATGTGTGCAGTGAAATATAACCACTTCCAGAATCATCGATTAGGAAGCCATCGAGGGCAGCTGTTGTATTGCCGCGGGAAGCAACAACCTTCGATGAGAACGACAAAGGTATTTTAAATCACCTTTCTTTGCATGCTTTTACATTGCTTTCTCGCTTTTGTATGACGATAATTGAATCGTGGCTAGAGTACGTATTTTGAAAGTTAATTAACTCATGAGTTAATTATAATTGATTATTTCGAAACATTGGTATCAAAGCTTCCAAAGAGAAACATTTAAATCATTTAACAATAGATTACACGATGTTTCCATATTATTATCACTTTAAGTGCGCAGTTTAGCGTTGCGTAGAGTCATCGAAGAAAATGGCGGGAAACAATAATGACTCGTGGGCATATTTATTGTTACTCGTTTGGGTCTCCAAATAACGTCCGTTGCGAGGGTCATTGAACTTGTCTCGAAGACGAGGGAGATCCATCATTCTCTGTCCACGTTTGAGAGTTAATTTTCGGATCGGCCATACTGATCGGGAAAAAAGCTAACGAATCTCGTGCATCAAGATTTACTTGCATTTATCGCGTTCCATTACTGTCGACGAACGATTCGATCGCCATCAGCGACGTCGCCACCGTTGCACCGACCAAGCATCGCCGCTTCCAATTAAAAGCCCCTCGTCGTCGCTCCGAAATTGATATCGGAAAACAAAAACGCCAATTTCAGGCGTCTACTTCGCGTGTAGCGTGCACGCGCGTACCATCGCATCGGTTCAACAGCAACACGTAAACCCGCTGATTCGTTCGGAGCGTTTTCGCGCACGCGCGCCCCTTCCGAAGTGTTAATTGACCGCTGCCGGTCATTACACGGTTGATCGCAATTAAACACCGCAATTTCGAGAAACGTACCGTTCGGCTTTATGCCGAATTAAAATTGCAGCAGCCGTTGAGCGCATCGTTCGCTTTTTCAAAGCTGAGTCCTCGAGCGTGCGCGTTAGATCGAGTGCACACCAAACGAGCCATCAAGAATAAACGTATGGTTGGATTCGGTTGAAATGTTTCCTAAATTATTCAATGCTCCTTCCTCGATTCGATAATTGAGTGCAAATGATGTTGTTTGCATTATATGAACAAAATCGTTAGTTAATCACGTTCCCTGCCACATGACTTGACGACGTCAACGACTAGAACTCTCTAATAGCAAAAATATAGCGTGGCATGAACAAAAAATTCAGAGCATATCGAAAACGGTGCACATGGCGGAGAACGTGTTAACCCTTTGACTGAGTACTCTAGGCTTGAACATCCTGTGTGTACAAAATAAGAATCAAGTCAATAACACTTACCACTTTTTTAAAATTTAATTTAATTTCTCAGTTTATTTTTGTCTTTTTCAATGTTTTATTACATCATTATAATCCGATAACATATGGTGTGTAATTAGTAATATGCGTTGATAACTTTTATTTCATTATAATTAGAACGCACGCATATCTGCGGCCATAGTCGGCAGCTTTCTGCCAGCTTTCACCTGACGCATATATCCGTTCATAACAGTCAAAGGGTTAACAGAAAAATAGTAGAGCTGAAAAATCGTTAATTTACTTACCGCTATCTATACTTTTATGATGATATATTTTTATTCACTTGCTTGGCGTGTACACAGTGTTAGAGTCAATACATTTTATTGGATGTCGTTGTTACGAATTGTCTATATCGTATCCTGGACGCGTTCAACGTGTCGCGGTATCGGTGGCTGGTTACAATAATTGGCGAGCGGGTTGAGCTGAATTCAGGCATTAACGTTCGTCGTTAATCATTACAGTCTCGATCCCTTGGTTTTCAACGATCCAGCCAGAGATCGTGTCCCGCTGACGTAGGTAATGTATTCGGAATTCGAGTCGTGTTGCGACGTTATTATTCGGTCGCGATGTGTAAAACTGGTTGACGCTTCGTAAACCTCGATTTCACGCCTCGTCGACCTCTAATTAATGCAATAGGAAATTGTTATTCCGTTACGTGCACTCCGCGCTCTATGCATTATTTCGGATAGCTGATCGTGGACTACCACCATCCGTGTCCGCTACCCTTCACCGTCCATTTACCTTTCGCGGGACATTAATCGTTTTTCCTGTTACGAATGCGCTCGTTCTTTCTCGTTGTTCATCGCATTCCAACGAATCTTAGTTAGTGAAATCTTTATGATACCATCCGCGGTTCGATCGAGGTAATATTGATCGAATACACTGGCTGTCCTACCTAATTTGATCACCTTAAATATTCATTGTCTCTGTACTCGACGCGTTGCGCACACACCCGTGACTAATTATTAGAATCGATCTAATAATAATTACCAAGAACATCGTGATGTTGTAATTGTTCCTTAACTATGATACATTGACAAAGAGACAAAGGCTTGTTTAGTAATAACGAACGGTATCTGGGTCTAGTTAATAAGAGTAGGCGCGGGGGGTTCCTTCGAATTTCTAGCCATTCCTGGGAAGTTAGGGAAAATTTCCTCGTTTCGCTCGTTAGCTGACGTACGCGGGCGGCTCGGTGCAAACGCAGGGTAGGCCCGTAGGTGGAGCGTAACAGGCGAGCAAGTAGACAGGCAGGATGGGTCGAAGCTACTGCCTCGTATACGTGGATGTAATGCATGCTAAACATGTCAGGTAATTAACGTGAGCATTACACGTATGCTGCCTCCCCTCTCTCCCCTTCTATTCCAGTTTCGTACACTAATTACGGTTAGCTATAATGCCGACCAGCCAATCGAACGGAGTTTGAAGTTCGTAATTGTACCGTGATCGAGAAAATGGACAACCGCGATACGTCGCGGTCTTGGGTGTCTGGTTGGGTGTCCCGCTATTAACGTTGGGTGACATCGGTTTCGTGGATCGAAGGGAACTCTTTGATTTATCTTGGTTGCTCATTTTTCGCTCGATCAGTTTTACTTTACGGGACTAACGAGCCACAGGGTAAAGGGAAACGTTCGATTCGTTAAGCGAGTTACCAGGGCCAGAGGGGCGGGCGGGGAACATTTTTCCAATTGCCACGAAATGTGGGCTCGTTCGATGGAGACGAGTCTAGATTTAATGTTAATAGTTTGTTAAAACGAAGCGAAGCCTTCGTTCTCCCGTAGGAGCCCGCATCGGTTGACGAGTATCCGAGCTGAAAGGCGCGACGGACACAGAGACGCGTATGGACCGTGTATGAGGGTTCAAAGAAATTCTAATCGAGATACAGGCGCGAGACCGGTCCTGCGGCAAATTACACATACGGGTCCCATTACGTGAAAGCGACGATTTCGATTGGAACTTCTCTTCAAGATCTTGTCTACCTTCGTAGACTTGTTTGAAGTGGAACTCGAGGTTGTATTTCTTTCGAATAAAAGAATCATCACTTATGCTAATTATAGGTTGAGTAGATGATCGCTTCATTGTTGGCGAAGAAACGATAATTAACTTTCATCATTTTTCGTTGCTAATTGAAGATACTCATTAACGCGTGCCAATGTTAAATCTCGCGTAAAGTTTCGATAAAATTTATTCTTATTAAGATTGAATCTGCTTGCTTCGAATTCTACTTCGAGGAATAAATGTTTATCCGACTGGTGATGATAGAAAGGTAAAGAGTAAATGGAGAAACAGGGACGCCTCTTTTACAGTTCTTTAACGATGATACATTGCTTCTGAGGCTTCCCAATGGTCGCTATCCTGACCACGTTACTGTCACTTAAGGGACCGGACCGCGAATTCGTCTCTGAGGATTCTATGTTTCTCTGGAAAATCCTGAGAAGTAAATTAGCAGCGTTAGAGGCGGTTGTTTTATAGTCAAAGTTTAATCGCGTTTTCTGTGTTCCAAATGAAACAGACCGAACAGTATCAAAAACGAAAGGAAAAGAAAGGAAGAATTTGAAAAAGCTGGAACGGTAGAAGGTGAGAGAGGCGGTATCGAAAAGGGATTGAAAGAGGGATAGAGATGGGGAGGAAGGGTGGATGGGAAGGACCTTTAGCCCCGTCCTTGTCGCGATCCTACGCGACGCGTCCACAGGACCGACGAACGGTTAGTTAAGGAACACGGGAAAGCACTTCTGAATCACTCTCGACGACGCGCGTCCCTTTGCTCGCGCTACTTCGGATACCACGATACAGTACACTTTTCCACTAGATATCACCTTCGTGCATATATCAATTTTCCACTCACGTCACCGGTCTTCTGGAACGTATGGCGAAAGTGGAATTTGTGGGCCGGAATAACTTGGAATCGGATACGCTACCTTGATTCGGCGTGGGATTGTTTCAAAGAGTTGTGCGTCAAACTCGCGAAAGACGTACAACGCACCGTGTGCTTCCAGCGGTGAAACGAAATTATATAGAAATAAAGCTTGTTCGATAAGAGTAAAATGTTAACTCCGTTGTGGACGTCTAGGTAGCCACGATAAGCGTAACTAACCACCAGGAATAAATTGCCAAGAACAATTCCTGGAGATACTATATACACACACTTTTTCCCCATTTTCTTATCTCCGTTCCCCGCGTTTCCTTTATTTTTTCTCGCGAGGCCGAGTGTACGGGGGGGTAGATTCGAACTCTGAAGCGATGCATCATAATCAAGCGGTCAACTTACTTAGTCCGGAGTGCTGCGTGCTTAAGTTAATTAGCTAATTACTAATTTTAATCGGATGACGTATGCGCATCTCGAGGGATACAAGCAAACCCTCTTAGCAGGGAGAAACTGAACTCCCATCGTCCTTCTCTTTCTCTATCCCTCCCTCTTCGTCTTCTACTTCATCTTTGCCTCGCTACCTCTCGCTCACTTCATCTTCAACCCATTCCTGCCCATTCTCCTCTTCTTTGATACGTAGAAGTTACGAATCGTACCTCTAGCTCTAAGATAAACTCGACTTAATTGGGTCTAAGTAATTTCGCTAAAACTGCTCGCTTAATTTTTCATCCATTTTCGATCGTAATTTCCTATCCTGGTTATTTCGCGTGGCATTCACCACGCCATAGCTCAAGGATCTTAAAAAGCGTGAATATTTACGTAATATCCTTCTGTTAGAAGGAGGAGATCAGAAGGTTCGCGATATCGTCAAAATATTATCAAGCTGGTGGTTGCCTTCACAAACGAGGTTATTCCTCGTTAATGACGCAAAGAGACGTAAAAATATATCGTCGCGTTGGCGCGAAATAAATATTTAAAGCGATTGTAAATGTCGCGGGAACACGTTAAACCGGTACGCGAACCTTCGCCACTTGTTAGCTCGGATCGGCGCGATTTAAATCCGCTCATTTTCCATAACGCGACGAGCACATCGTCGCGTCGTCTTACTTCCTTCGCACTTTCTTCTCTTTTTTTTTTCTTTCTTAACCATCGATATCCCGCCTCGATACGGAGCTCGTTAATATTCAGAAATATAAACGAACATAAACGATCCGTGATGTCGCAACGTTTCTCATGACAGTTTATAATTAGCTGTACATGTCAATTTATAATCCTCTCGTATGGAAATGCGGATAGATATTTTCACGATATATTAATCGTGTAAATGGTCGATTGAGTTAAAGTGCGATTTAATCTTGAAATGCTTGAAAAGCTAAGCCATCAAACTATGAACGTTGAATTCGTCAATTAAGCTGTCCGAGTTATGGACCGATTTTTCAACTCTGCCAGTTTAATATTTGAAAACGGCTGCCGTCTCCAGAATAATCGAGTGTCAGAAAACGAACGTTCGAGCGGTCGATATCGCGATAACCAACGTTTCCAGTGTATCCTCTTTTTTTTCCGAAAAAGGAGAAAATTCTTTTTTTTTTCAGAGAAGAATGTTAAACTCGACACGTTTTCGAAATCAATTCGAAACTCGTCGCTCGTTATTGTTTGACAGGGCTTTCGTTTGTTGTTTCTACGATGTGTCACGTACCTTCCAGGCGGTTTTAATTAATAGAATGCATATCTAAACGAGTTTGGAACAACGCGACCGATAATATACGATCACAGCGTACAGCAAAGAAAGCAGCAAAGGAGATGAAACCTCGACGCACGAACTCGCGCAAACATTGTGAAACAGAGAGAAGAAAAAAACATATGCAACACATGCAGAATGTAAAAGGAGAACGGAAAAACGACCACGAACCGGTGTATGCGAATCCGCTGACGCGCATGCGGTTTAAGTGTACGCGCTTAATTAGCTCGGCGTATTCTCTCCCCGTATAAAATTACTAAACGCGTTATAAACCAGATATCATTATATTTCGACGTAATAAGATCAAACTTTAATTAGATTCCTCGTAAGAGTGTTGGTACATTGGCGCACGGTTTCCCCTCCCGTCACGGTTCTCGTACGTGTGATCACGTACACGCGTGGATCGTTTACAGAGGCTGTGCAAACAGGCGGACGGGCATAATACCGAACGCAAGATTGGCCATCGAAGCAGGAGAGTCGGTCGAAAACAATTATTAATAACACGTGGCATCAAGGGATGAGAAGACGCGGCGTGGCGAGGGGTGCCGCACGATGGATTGCTTGCACTCCAGAAGAGAATGCTGCTTGGTTAATGAGGTGGGAGTTAATTAACCGAACTGAAGTGCGATGGTAGGAGGCCGGTTCTCTTCTCCGTGGAACGGATGAGAAAAACACGAATCGACGCGAGGAGGAGACGAAGAAGAAGGGGAGTGGAAGGGAGGTGGCGGATAGAGGAGCAGAGTGTTAGGGATTGAGATACGGGCACCGTTGGTAATAGTAGCACGAAGAGGAGCTGGAGGAGGAGAGTAGGGTTGCAGAAAGCGTGGCTCAACGAGAGGGGTGGAAATGAGAGAGGAATAGATGTGCCAAGCAGGGCATGCGGGTTCGTAATTAGGGATCTATAATTGCGTGGAGTCAGCTAGAGCGGTTGAGTCGAGTGGCAGGCACCCGGTATCACGTCGTTCACACGTACCCGCGTTTGCGTACCGACCAAACCAGACCAGACCAGACCAGACCAGACGCGAACAAGATCGTGTATCCTGCTGTGTGCGTGTTTCCTCGCGTTTCTGTGTTGCCGCTCTGACTCTCGACGTAGGGGCATCGGTTGCCACCGGAAATGGAGTTGGACACGGTGGCCGCAAGTAATAAGGCCTGTTGCCGTGATCTGCCTCGAGATTGAAAGCACCGCGACGTTTGAAATCGTATGCAAAATGCAACCCCGCTGGTAAAATGCAATTTTGACTCGACAGAAATCGTTAGGTCTTTTTTTGTTTTTTCAAACAACAAAATAAATCATTTCAAGTTTTTCCTTTTTTTTCTGATCGATACTCGAAAGAATCTTGCGGAGTAGCATTAACTTCAGTTAGATCTAAAGCGACTTTTTATACAGCTGTGGTAATATATTTCATTAATTATAGCACGCAATATTTACGTGGAAACAGGCCAGTCGATTAATCGCCGTCGGCGATAATTTAACGAATCTCGCTAACGTACACAGGCAGAGATCGAATTAGCGCGGTAGAGACGGAATATCCTCTCTAATTGGAGCCGTGAAAAGCTTCGATTATAACGGCTAAGCATTCGCGCGTCGAGCCAGGCACACGTGGCCGGTTTTCGCGTAGGCAGCCGGTTCCTATCGTTTCGCTAATGAGCCAGATTATTCCCGGCCGTCCGAACTGACAAGAAAGAAACAAGAATGTGCATAGGAAGTGGGTTTGTCGTTCGCAGGGCTGATAACGCGGCATCGTATTCAGTCCCGAGAAGATAAGTGCATCTGCCAGAGATACATTGCGGTCCCGGAGTAAACGTTTTCCAGCTTGCACCGTTTCAACGAAAGAAAGACGGCCATCGGAGTCGAAGGAAAATTTCGTCGTTTGAATTTAAATAACGTCCACGGTTGATCGTTTTGCGATTAGCGGTCAGAGTTGTATGGTAAAAGGATAAAAAGAAAGGCGTCGTTAAATGTGATAAATCTGCAGGAACTATCGGAGCTTGTTCGCTGGATGAAAATAACGAGAGTCGAACGGTACTCGCGGCTAGTCGTGAGCTGGAATTTCCTCGTAGCTCATAATCGACGAGGAGAATTATCTGGAAAGGAGGATAAGATTTAATCCAAGGTAACGGGAGCAAGGTGTATCAGAATTGAATCGAGGTAGCTAGAGAAGCAATCGCATAGTCGAACGAAAATTTCCTCGAGGAGGGCGAGGAGCCGGTTCGGGTTCGGGCTCGGGTCGAAGGCGCCGGAAAAGAGCTTTCCCTGGCGTGGCGCTTTCTTCGGCTTGGCAATCCTTCACAGTTAACGCCCCTAATCGTATTCATTAAAGTGCTCTCAATGCTTTTACACGGCTCTCAAGCTTTGCCACCATCTTCTCGCTCCCACTCTTTAAACATCCACCTTCCCTCGCCTTCGTCTCTCTTTCTCTTTTTCCATCATTCGTCTCTTCCTCTCGTTCTCTCTTCGTCTACCTTTCCGACGGTGCTTTCAACGCCCGAGATCTTGAGTAGATTCTCTCCTTTCCCCCCGTCTTAGCTTGTTCCTCGTCTCCCTTTTTCGTAGCTCTCCCCTTTCTCTCACGCTTTCTCCTTCTCTCTTGTCGCGAGAGCTTTTAAGTTGGCAACAATGCGCGGATTTATAAACCAGACTGAGGGCATTGTTATCGGCGAGTGATTGGAAGGCGGCGTTTCGACACTGGCCGAATACCAACCATTGGTTACCGTCCATTGTTGACCCCTTTATCTTGGAAATTCGTGCTCCGCCACCTTGCTTTTCCCGTTCGACCGCCAGGGAGTCGCTAAATCACTTGGTTTTATTGATGGACCGCGAGGGTGGAAAGGCGCGACCACGTCTTGGTATCACGACTTTTGATAAACAGCCCATTGTGGGCCGTCTTTTCTTTGTGGTTTCTTCCTGTCGCAACGTCCGTTTCCCGTTTGCTCGTTTCGTTCGGCCGGCAAACCGGCTATCAGCCAAGATTCCCAAAATTTTTACTTCCACGATTGACGAATCATCGTGGTCCCTTGATCTTTATCGATTTCACGTTTCCGAGAACCGGTCCGGAATTTCACTTCGGCACGTTAATGGTTCGATCGTTGTAGCTCGAATAAAAGAGAAAAGACGAACGCATCGAGTAGCGTGGCTATGCACCTTTTTGTGCTGGAAATTAATGCCGAAGCGCGTGGATGCGCGTGGATCTCTTCGAATTATACGCATCGGTGACAGTATTCGCACAATAGGATACCATAGGATGAATCGAGTTTCTACCCTCGGTTTGCGAGTTGACTTTCCCATGATGCGGTCGTAATCAGATCATCTCCTACCCTACCGTCCTGCCTATCGCCATTGACTGTTCCATCGACTCTTCCATCGACGGCCGCGTACCATTTTTGTTTATTGCTTAAGTGGTCCTATTGTTCGAAGCGACTATAGCGAGTGCGTGCTTTCATTGAAAAATTAATTAAACCGTGGTTTTGTGGTTGCGACTAAACCGTGACGGTGTTTGTCTCCCTTTTTTTAATAAATCAAATTATAACCTAAAGTAAAATTATTCCATATAAAATTAAAGGCACAGTACTTGAAAGATTTCTAAGAATTCTCGTACAAATCTATTTTATTTCTCATCCTGCACGCAGAGTCACCCTACTGTCAATCGAATCACTCTTCACGTGACACCCTGTAGAAATCATCCTGGCGGATGAGACGTGGAGCGTAGCAAAAATCATTAAGCGATTACGCGTCATGGGAACCCTGGCTGGCTCGATGATAGACAAATTTGTGCGTTTGAATGTTCGCGGGTCCGAGAGAGAGAGAGAGAGAGAGGTTAAAGCGCGTTAAAATAATATACGAGGTGGCCGGTATTGTAGTTGGCACGGAAGAATATCGATCTTGGTCGGAGCATCGCACGTGTCCCGGCGTTCGACACGTGCCGGCTCCGCTTTGCTACAGGGAAGCACGAGCAGCGAGAAGGTATCGTTGGCCGAGCGAGCTGCCGGCACGCGTGTGCGTGCAAAATCGCGTGCACGTCGATTGATCCAGGCTGATGGTGGCGGTCATCCCGCGATCTACGGCCACCCTTCGCACCGACCAGAGTTTAAGAGCTATCTTCCGTTCATCTAATCCGTAATTATACCGCTCGAGAAACAGCTATTTGTAAGGATAGGCTGGCATTAGTAGGAGGAGCCGTGTATGTGCCACCCTAGCCTCGATTTCGCCTTCCTATTTTTCTTGCATCAACTCTATTCAAACGAGGGTGAACGCGTATTACCATGCAAATCGTTCTTACTGATGCTCGATCTTTCGCGTAACAGTTCGATTATTCTACGAAATAACACCCCATGGTAGGGTGAGATTTACCGATTCCGAGGATCCTTCGTGTTTCACCGTGAGAATGTTAGGTCACGATGGAACGAGTCTGTTACACGAAGGTGAATAATTTTCGAGGCTACCGCAAACAGGTGTTTCGATTCGGTTATTGATCACAGGTCATCCCATAGATAACTTCGTTATCAAATTCACCCGGATCGACGATTTGTCTCTTACGATCGTGTCGCAGACGAATTGCGGGAGAAATTCTCGTCTCTCTCGCTTCCTCCAGCAGACTGGTGCAAATAAGCCAGCGAGTTTTTCTTTGCACAATATGTTGTGGGACCATTACTTAAGCAGGACGAGGGGTAAGGGAGGGGAGCAGCATCCGCGCGGAGAGACTGGCTCTTACCTAAATAACCACTCAGTCACTCGCAGACTTAGCTGGGAAACGGCAGAGAGGTTAGGAGGGGTAGTTCGGACCGAAGAGACGGCAGGGATGTGGGGGTTAAGGCCAACGGGGGGGGGGGATGGCCCGATACTATTACGTGATGTAAGAGCAACCAAGCATCCAGAAACCACCCCGCCAGATTAACGAGGCCATTCTCCGATTGATTTCTCGAGAAACGTTTCGACCGTTAACTTTGATACCGTGCTTCGCCATAGCGAAGCAACTTTTCCTATCATTTCGATTCACCTCAGCTTACTATGTTCGAGACTAAGCGAAGAACAGCTTGGAAACGATCGTGAGAAGCGTCATTTATGTTTCGATACCTACCCTCTATTCTTCGAATCAATTGGCGTAAGTTCGTAAATGGTGCTCGTTCCGCTTTCAACGGGGTAATTAGCCAACTATCATCCGATTGAAACTACGAGAGTCGATTAGATATCTAAGAACTAGAATACCTGAACGCGTGTTAATGTAATTGTATATATCTAACGTTCGGATACTCGTTTCCCGTGAGCCATGAATCGTGCCAAAATAATTTACGAAACGTGGCCGTGAAAGCTTGATTGCGCCAAGTAATTTGCTTTTGTCGTAGCCGCGAATGGATGTCGCGTCCAGACACCGTAAAGAAATTCCATTTGCTTTGATCTTGACCTGGCTGCCTGACTAATGACGGAATATCCCTTCAAAGCGATCAATCTAAACGGGATACCAGGTCGTGGCACGCGCGTGTACGCAATTTCCAACGCGTCGAAACGATCACCCGTTAATTTTCTGTTTCGTCAATTCCGTTTAAGACTCGCCCGTAATCGCGTTTGCGGGGTATTCTCAAACATCACGCGAAATAAAACTCGGGGATCATGCAATTTGCAGTGAAATATTATTCTTAAAGCATTGTACAAAAGAAGCGATCGAAGGTATCCGTGTTGGTACGCAAACAGCATCTTCGAATGCTTTGATGTCCCACGACGAGGTCGTAAGTTTTCGTACAAACAGTTCGGTGTTGGAAGTTTCGCGACGAGGATTCATTAGGAAAGTTTGTGCCTTACGATTGTTACACTTAAAGAAATTAGCAAGTCGATCGTGGTAGGTATGCCAGACGCGTCAAAGTGATACCGACCGAGAGACACGAGGCTTGGACGATACAACAAGGGAGTAGACGATGCAAGGCAAAGTGAGGTAATGGCGTGTCGGAGTTAACCGGTTGATAACCATCGGTTATAATTAACTCAACCTAACCGATGAACAAGCCGACCCCGCTAACTATGCCAAGCCGCAACTGTGCGTTTCACTTTATGGGTATCGAGCAGCGCTGCTAGCTCCAAGATTCCTCGCGTTGTTGGTTTGTTAGTCCTCCAACCAAGAACCAGCAAGAGCTAGCAAGATCTCAGATAAGATCTTATGCTTCGCACGGCTACCAGTTTTGTTGTTCAATAATTACGAGTTAAACAGGGCTGTTCGATGCAAATCGCTCGTAAAAACTTCTACCCTTTTTATAAGAGGATCGAAGCTGTTAAGATCTCGTATTTGCATGGTATAATTTTAATTACTTTCCTCTTCGGACAAAATAGTAGAAAATTTCTGAAACTATCCTAATGGAATTTTCTTCGGTCAAAAGCGGTATAGACTCGAGTTTTCTCACAGGAAGTGTAAACAAGCCGTCGCGTCGCCGGGAAGCGGCTTAAAAACGACACCCGGTACGATCGCTGTCATGGCAGCCAGCCGTTGCCGCTTTCTCGTTGCGTTCTCCTAAAGGTTAATCCCTATTGTCGGCTGACATAAGCCTCTAATGGATGGAACCGATCTGCGCGCGCGACGTACGATACGGGCGGGCCGCGTAACGCGAACGCACGACGAATTCGATTCGCTCTGTTTGTTGAGCGAAACGCAGCGAGACACAAACAAGGGTAAAACATTCATTTTTCCTTTGATTTTTCAAACGTCAGTGTGAACGCGATCATCGTATCTAAAGATTCCTGAAAGAGAGATTTCAAAGTTTCTCGCCGATCTATTGGTCTAAAGGTGTGTTTCCAGCTATAAGGCCACGTCGAAGACGCGGAAGAGGAACCCATTCAATGATGAGTGGCCAGACGGCTAAAGAGGAAGGCTAAACAGGGTGTCCGTTTCGGGCGGTTTAACGAGGCGAAACGAGGCACGGACAAACGCGGTAAAAGGGCCAATCCCAATCACTTTTCTCGGCCAATTCCGTAGTTTTCGTTAAGCAGAACGAACGTCTTCTCTCTTTTCTTGCCTTGTGGCAGAGAGCCACGGTAGATTGCGAAAGAGCCGGGGGTTTGAAGGAGGTAGGCAAGGGGGTGGAAAGGCCAGGCTGGGCCGCGCGCAATCATCGCCCAGTCTTTTAATTTCCTATACTGGCGGGAGAGAGCACGTGTAAGTGTACGTGTTAGCGTGTACCCGCGTGGCCACGTTCGTGGGTCGGCCGCGTGTGTGCGCGCGCGTGTATCTGTGTGAAACGGATGTAGGAAAGATAGGGAAGGAGAGAATAGCAGAGAAAGTTTCGAGTAAAGGAAAAGGAGGAACGTTCGGAGGGTGGTAGAACAGAGAAAGAATGTGTATCTCTGTGTGTGTGTGTATGTATATGGAAGATAGAGAGAGGGAGAGAGAGGAAGGTAGAGAACGGTGGCTCGTGCGCGAGGGTCGGCACGGGGTGGTAATTGGCTGTCATGGCTTCCCAGTTCTACCAACCGCCCAACAACCCCGAGAGATTGGTATCGCTTATAATTAACTTCTCCGTTTCACGAAGCCACCGTTTCCATCGCGGCGTCCACGAAAAAGAGAGGTAGTTACAAAGGAGAGAGAGTGAAGGAGGGTTGAAACGCGGTCGTGGGCGGGTGGGTGAAAGTTTCGGTCGTGCCTAAAGTCGAAAAGCTTGCAGCAAGCGTGCGACGAGAAGGAGGGAAAGAAAAAGAAAAGAAAGGAATCGTTTGCAAGGGGTTGGGTGAATTCGTTGAGCATCGATAGAGATGGAGGGAGGGGATGGATGCCGATGGCTCTTCTTTATTTCTTATTCGTAATATTAAGTTGCCGGCGTGTACCGTGGTCTAACGGGGAAGATCGAAATCCCGCGTGTCCGGGAGCGTCGAACGTTGGTCTCGTTATTTCGTAATTTTCCTTAGGTGCCGTAATTGGAGCCTTTTGTACGCGCATCGCTACTCTAACGAAGAAGATCATTAGCTTTGAGAAAATCTGGTAGTCCCGCAAGTTTCTCGGCGAACACCTTTGAAATGAGCTCGCCAACACCTTTAGGGTGGCTGAACGAGTTGGAAAGAACTGTGGAAGCCGTGCGTCAGGGTTCGAGGAGGATTTTACGGGACATGGGATAGCGTGGGTTTGCCTGGCAAGGTAAAAGTAGAGGCGACAGCAACCAGAAGAAAAGCTCTTTCAACGCGAGGGACACGCGCCAAGCTCCGAGAAAGCTGGCTACGAAGAGGCAGACGGAGAGGAACGATGCGATGGTGAGAAGAAAGCGCAGAAGCGAAGCAACGTTATCCTGCGGAAGACGGAGAGGAAACGGGAAGGATAGAAAGGATAGAAATACTCCGAAGTCTAAGTAAGTAACATCCATTTCTATCCCCTACCATCTAGTCACTCCTTTTACTTTGGTTTACCTTATACTTTACGCGCTACTTCTGCGACTTTTTATTTGCAATTCCACTTTCTTCCACGACCGCCACCTTCCCGGCAGTGGTTCTCAGGAACATCTTAGCCCGGGCTACGTGTCTACTTGCCGCGATACCATTTATTCTAGGCGAAGCTTTTCCGTTCGAAAGGGTGTCCGATTCGATTGGATCAATCGAAAGATACCTTTAACGAGGTCGGCTCGTACTGAAAGATTAATCCATGGAAAAAGGAAGGATATCGCGGCGTGGCACGTTCGGATACGGTTTCCTTGGGAATACCCCTGTTCGTGGGACGAATTCTCAGGCGGAATAAAATGCAAGCTAGCTCGTCCGCGTTTGTATGTATTCAATGTCGCGTGGGGGCACATGGAATGTCAGTACAGTCCTTTCGTAACTAGTTTCTGAGCAGGTCACCCCAATTAACGTTTTCACGTGCACCTCGCTCGTCCTCTCTCTTTCTCTTCGAAACTCGCCACCGGTATTCTCAGCAGCCGGCCTTTCTTCTTCTCTCTTGCTCTTTGTCGCTCTCACCGTTGCAGCGAGTAAGTACACGCTGCCGCGTTGGCACGCCACGGCAAGTCTCGCAGAAACTTATAATTGCGAAAGGAGTCGGCAATTATAATTGCCTCCGGCCAGCAGAAACGGATGTAATTATCCGACCACTCGTGGCAGCGCGAGTTCCGCGAAAATTGGGCGTACGCGACGAGATGTAACCCGCAGGTTCGCGTACGCGCGTCTCCCGTCTGCAACGACCATTATCTTTCTGATTGCGACGAAAAAGATGTTATCGCGTTCCAAGATCTCGTCGAGCTCGCGGCCGAAAATCAGCCGGTAAATTTCTTTCGATTAACAACCGTCACTTCGTAAATGTAACGCGTTAAAAAGTTTTCCGAGTTAAAGGCGCGGACGCTGGCTCTTTCGTTGCTCGCTTTACATTAATCGAGAGCAAGAGACGACAAGAGAGGAGGGAAAGAGCAGCGCGCGAGTAGTCGGCCGAGGTAAGGAGCGAGCGAAACGGAGCAAGGAGGGAACCAAGACTCCGGTCAATTAAGCGCAGGAAATTAGAGTTTTAATTACGCAGTCATTCAGAAAATTACATCGGGGGCCGTGAAGAAGGCATCCGCAATCACCAACGAGCGACGAGGGCACGGCGTGCCCTTTCCTTCCGACAGACCGTCCGCTGAATTTAAAGAAACTAAATACGAATCGATGCGCCGGCTACTCCCGTTAACTGCTATCTTGAAATTTCGACAACCACAAAAAACCTTTTCTTCTTTTTTCTTCGTGAAATTTCTCCCATTATTCGCAACGTCATGTACCTACACACGTCGCGTGTGTCAATTTGCGAATGAACGATTAAACGATGTTAACATCCGTTTCGGTATGCGAAGCGCAATCGTCGATTTTAATGCCGTTCCCACGGCCGTCAGCTTTCGATTCGATTATCGAATCGAATTTCGCCGAGTCGATGCTAGACGCGATATCGCGATCTACATCTACCTGGCCGCGAACTTTATATGCGAAAGTGGGTCGAGACGGGGGGGAACGGCAACGGAAATAGCGGAAAAGAAACGGACGGAAATGGGATGACGAATATGTGGGTCAGAGGGTAGGTCAGAGGTAACGCGTTAAATTTAATTACACGTGTCCGTGACGGCTGTTTGAACGGCCGTGGATCGGCCCAAAGCTCGTCCGAATCTCTTCGATTTACAGTCGATAATAGTGTACGCGAGTGTGGAACGAGACTCGATATTCCCTTTAAATTGGTATCAATGGCGGTCTTTAGGATGACTTTGCGACGCGTCCACGTTCAACCTGTCCGTTCTGTCCGCTTGGTAGTCTGATTGCAAGATTCGATCGTTCAGCTCGTCGCTATCGTCTCAAGCTTGAAAAGAGAGAGTACGAGGCGTGGTTCGATTCCACCAGTCGGATATTATTAGCGACGTATGTTAAATGAAAAAGGAGATTGCTCCATGTTCGTCGCCGGAACGGAATTATTATCGTTAACCGTCTCGTTTCTCTTCTATCGATAACGTTTATCCCGAGACGGATCTACCGGTCGTGGTTGATATCCAAATCGAAGAAATACATATTTAGAAAGTACGTTATCGCGGCTGGACGTTCGATCGATTAAGGTCAGGAGAAATTCATGAATTCCAACGACACGTCAGTTCGGCTGACGTTCGCGAACGGAATTAGTCACATTCGAGGCTCGTCAACGTTGGACAAGGTTCCGCTCGTGATGGACTATTGACGATCGCGAGCTGGTCTCGGTTGGAAAGGGTGCGACGGACGGAGAAGACGGATTGAATGGTAAATAAAGATGGGTGGAATCGGTCGCGTGACGAGTACGCGGGACAGACAGAGGCAGAAGGTAAGTGGAATTTAAGCAAGGTGGGTCAGCTCGATGGTAGGGAAAAGAAATTGTTGGGCGGTTGGCAAGTAACGGAGAGTGTTAATTTTCGGAATGAAAACGGGACATCCATCTTTCGCGAAATACTTGGCACTCGACGCTTCAACTCCCGGCCCATTCTCTCGCTCAGCGCATTAGAGTAATGAATTAATTTCCATCCGAGTCCCCTAACCCCCTTCCACGTCTTTCGGTGCCCCCTTTCTACATCTAGCAGACCGGCCTTTTACCACTCGTTTAGCCCGCAACGAGACTCGGTTTTCTTCTCTCAGCTTCTCCCGCTTCTCCTCCACGCTTTGCATTCTGGATTTAAAGTCTATCTTCTTAATTATAACGGAGTGACAATGCACTCTCTCTCCACTGTCGCTTACCTTTTTCAACGCTTACTCCGTTTTTCTGGAAGTTTCCAAGGATCCGCTGGGCGAGCCATCGTGTTAGCCGCGCTAAACGAGAAAAGAAATACCCCGTCTTCACCTTCGTATCTCCAGTAAATTTATTTGGAAAATATCGAATCGATTTGTGTTCGCTATTTGTTTCTTTTCTCCTCGCGTTTTCCCTCGCGATCATCTTTGAGAAGCAACCGACACGCTGCGGTCTTTCGAAGCAAACCAAAGTCAGCGTAGCGACGAATCTGTATTGCCACGGAATCTGCCCTCTTCTTTCCCTACCTTTACCCTCTCGTGATCGTACGTGTATGCGTGTATTCGAGCCTCGTCGATCCCTCGCTGACTCGAACCCTTTCCCTCGTTACCTTCGTACCTCCTTGTTCTTTGGCGATGTTCGCGAGCCGCACGGCGAGCTCGTTAACGTATTCATGGGTTTATGGGACAATTAACCCTTTGAGGGACAGTATAATTACAGAAGCGATTAAACATCTTAACGTATAAACACGCCGGGCTCCAGCGACGTTAGGGTATATGTATACGAAACTCGATGTGGCAGCCAGCCGGATAGGCAGGCAGACCGTTACCAATTAACATACTAATGACACGAGGTGCTTTTCGAGAGTCACTGTAACCGGCTGGCCTGCAGAGCTTCCTGTGCACGTACACAGTGGAACGCGTGTATACGGACTGACGGACGGACAGACGGAAAGGGTAGAGGGTACACGAGTATCAAGAGCCGCAGCAAGTTCGGCTTACAATTATTTGCGATTAGGGATCACGCGATCGAGACGTTTGCAGGACGTTCGTTAAAGTAATTGAATCTCTTTCACCCTGTCGTTTCGATGTCTCGGCCCGTCGATAACGAACAACCTGAATACTCTCTCGATTTCACGTCAGCCGGCTAATGGGGTTCGGTTAACTTCGACAGAACAGAAACGCGTTAACGTCTCGCTCGTGTACGTGTGTGTAGCACAGGCGGCGGGGTGCAGGGAAAGGGGCAGGGGGTTTGTTTTTACGCCGTTCGTTCAGTCAACAGAGATTTTAATAGTTTTTTAAAGAGGAGAAAAGGAACTCGTTTCTCTGATTGGATTGAAGCGTATCTCGCGCAAGCTCCCGTAACGACTTTCCTAATTACGCCATCCATTAATTTTAATTGACCCGGTTTTTCTTTCGGAAACGCCGATACCTGTCGAGCTGAATTCGATTAAAAAATCCGTCGAATAATCCGGATTGTATCGTCCCGCGTCACGCCATCCGATCGAAACCTGAAAATCTCGATCGACGCGAATGTATCGCGTTCGTTGTTCGATCATTGACGCTGTTAAACACCTCTAATGCTATGCGCAATGATAGGCAATACGATGAAGCACTCTGTCATTTTGTTTGCCACCAATGAATTTGATTATCGCGTAATCTCAGCCGAGCCAAAATGGGTTGGCCTGGAAAATCATGGAAAATCTAGCCGGACAATACCGCTTACCAGTGTCATTGTGAAACCTTTATCGCGTTCTGCGAGAGAGAGCACGCGCACGGCTCTACGTGCACGCTGCCGTACGAAATGCTTTTGATTTAATTAGCTAATTATAACGTTCATTTAATTAATATAATTGGACCGGTTAGTGGGCGTGGGTGCAGCTTGTACGCCGTGACGGCGGTGACTATTTTGCCGCGTTGCATTTAATAACGCCCATTAACGAACATTTACATTAGCGGTAATTATTGTAGTCGCCGCGTATCGACCAGCCGATTGGGATATTTTCACTCGGAAACGGAGTAATCGCTATTCCATCTAATATTGCTCGTCATCGCTCAAACGCGTTCCGTTAATTTCTCTCCCCTTTTCAAATGGAAAATTTAACAACGGTATCTCAGATATTTTCTCATATTCGGTGATCTCTACTAAACAGCAACCATTACTGTCAACGAGATTGTAAGGCAAGGTGTCAACGACAGTAGTTAGGGACAGCGGTCACTGACATTAGGTCAAAGCTAGTAGTAATTAGTGACACTGGTCAGACCCGGTTAGCGACAGTAGTCAGAGGTAGTAGGTAGCGAGCAGTAGTGAGACAGCCAGTAGTCTAAGAAAAGTCCAATTGATAAGGATGACTAATGTATGTATGTATCTGTATATGTAGAGGCGACACGCGCCGTACGGGCAACCGCGCCTGCGTACAGCCACGCGTGACGTGCCAACTGACGTCGCAGTATGGAGCGACGAGTGGCCGTCGAAGGACGAGAACCAACGCGACGCGACGAGACGAGTCGGCCGAGTGTGTCGAAGCAAAGTCTAGCCGAGAGTGCGCCGAGCGGTTGGCGGTTTCGCGTCGCCTCGCGTACCCTCGCGTTTCCTCTTCATTCCGAAGTGAGCTGCCGTTGCGAGCTAACCGGCAGCCTCTGCTGCTCTTGCTCGCTGCTGGCTGAACCCCTGGCAGCGGCGCGCACCGGCAATAACGCATCGCCTTCTTGTCACAGACGCGTAACCGCGTGCATTTCGAACACACCGTCTACGTTCCACGCTCAACCAAACGGGCACTGTCCTCGCGGCGTGACTCCGCGGCACGCGTGTACGCTCGATCGATCGATATCGCGCGACAAGTGACTCCGAGTGTTGGATATGTTTCGTTTCTCCTTTCTTCCTCTATTTCGTACGAATCGAGTGTGATTACGTGAGTGTCGTTGAAAACTACATTCATCCATCTATCCTGAGGATCCAGCGGACTACTAGGTGTACGTACACTACTACCCTATAAAGAAGTTTAAGGATTTCTGGCGAATCTCCGGCTCCTGCTGCCTGAGTGAGTACATAGTAATATTATCTTATGAATGAATCTACGTTTGATGTATACACGGTATTAATGAGATTCTTTGATAAACAATTGAGATCTGTTTACAAAGCACCGAAACGAACCACCAATTGATAGATCTTATTAAACGAAATCGTCGCGGATCCCGGTGTGTTGATCCTGTTTTTGCCTGTGCGATGCTCGCGTGGTCACCGATCTGCTGGTTCCGATGCGGGACATTTTAATTAACGTTAAAACGAACGATCTTTTTATTCCATCGCGTCAACGCGCCTTTCGTTGTGTCACCGAATGACGCTCGTCGTTGCTCGACTCGGAATCGAAGGGCATTCCAACCGGGTCATTTCGCCGGACGACGCGTTGTTTACGTCTCGCAGGTACGTTAACGCAGCAGGAGTCCGCGTTTATCTTGTTTTTGCATGAATGATCGGTCGTCGCCGATTTATCGTTTCAGTGATTTGAGTCGGGCATAAGCTCGCATCACGAGGACTGGCCGATTTCATTTCGCGCGTGCCTGCTTCCATCAGTCGCAGCGCGAATGTCGGGAAAACTTTTTGCCTTTCTCGCCTCTTGATTCTCATCTTAAACGGTCACGCTGTAATTCGCGGCGGAATGAAGCAGGGTGGACGCGGTTACGAGTATTACGCGATTAAACGCATCGTGCTTTAGAATCTGGCCACTGTATAAATCGAGGATTATCGGGCGATCCGCGTATAGCATTCAACGACCGAATGAAATGCTAGCCACGCGGGCGTACATTTTCGTTTCAAGGGCCAAATGAAATTTCCGTATGGCGCGGCGTCTGGCAGGCAAGAAAGCGGCGGTTGTTTGCTGGAGAACCGCGCCGTTGGCGGCCCTCGCAACGTCCGCTACCACCACCCCCGCCAATTTCGCCGAGGCATTAATTGGGTGGAGCTTTAATTGCCTTAGCGCGACCGACCGCCGAAGTTAGGGCGAGAAACGGTGCTGTAAGGTCGCTCCAACATTTGCCAAACCGGCACCAATTTCTTCCACCATTACGATTACCCGATTAAACGATTTAACCGAAATTTTACGTGGCTTGAAACAATTAGTAAATTGTTTTTCCAGGCTGATTCAGCGGAATAATCGTGCTTTTGCTCTTGTTTTTAAAGCGTATCTTTATTCTTCTCTCTTCCTCTCTCTCTCTCTCTATCTTCCGTCACCTTTTCTATATCTGATATTTCCGGCGAATCTCACCCTCGAAACGCGGAGACGACCAACCCCTAAATGAAATCCTGGAATTAAAGCCGTATATTAACCTCGCGGCGTCCCCTAAATTAAAAAACAACATTTTTACGACGTCGGGATGGAGGAGGGGTAGCAAGACTGTCGAAGAATGGGAATCGGCTCGCGGCACCGCGAAAATTTCTCTCCTCCATCGTTTTCCTTCGATAAGATCGCGGCCTACCGTAGTCCTTGTTCTACATAGGCTGCCTATATTCTCTGCACAGACAAGGTTACCGAACTTCGACCGCCATTCTATTGTCCGTAAATTGCGTTTTTAAATTCGTCGGGCGTCGTGGCACGTGGCGAGATCGCGCGAACTTCCGTATCCTGCGGCGAGGCAGGCAGAGTTTGGAAACGCAAACCTTTGGCCATCAACATTTCCTTTGACTCTTGTATATTCATTTTTAACAATTTCAACATGCAACAGCATAATCATTGTATATTTATTTAAAAAAAAAAAAAAAATTGTATACTGGGAAAAATAAAGTTGAAGTTATTGGTTGTAAAAGAAATGAAAGGTTAGAAAAGATAAGACGAAAGAAGCGGCCATGAGGGGGATAGAGATGCGTAAACCGTCGAGATTACCATGGAAATCCAGATCAGTCGCTTTGCATACTTTGGAAATACGTCCACGGAATCGGGTAAGGGTGTATAATGGAAGTTGAAATTGGTTGAGCCTGTCCCGTCTGGGCAAGCTATACCCTGTATACGAGGTATCGAGGGAAACGCATTCCTTGCCGAAATTGCTTCGCACTCGATTCAACGGAAAACACACGCGAGGCTTCCAGCTTCGGGGTTACGTTTTCGCGCGTCAAAAAATATATATACGAGACTGGGCCAGCACACACGCACAGGGGCGCGGCTGTGTTTGTTGTACGTGTATACGCGCCCATCTACCACTCTTCTGGCTTCTCCTCGGCTTAACTTCCTCTGTCTCACACTCGTAAAGCGTTGATTAAAACCCACCCGCGCAATGTGGAAAGTGGGGGATGGTGTGAGAGAGAGAGAGATAGGAGGAGGGGTTAGAGGGTTGAAGGCAGAGGAAGTTTGGGTGGCCTGGCGCGCGTGTACGCGTAAGTGGGTGCGTGAAGCGGTTGTATGGGTGCGTGTATGCAATTGTAGGAGCGAACGGGCGCGCGCGTGCTCTCACGCAAGCGCAACGAACGCGAGTCAAAGTGGTGTGTCCGACGACGACGGTGAGTAGAAAGGAGAGAAGAGGGAAAACCTAGGAGGCCAACAGGCGAAGAAGGAGAAGAGGCAGGGAGAAGGTGGTGGATATAACGAACGGGGGTTGGGGTTGAAACAGAGAGAGAGGATCGTCGAGGGTAGGGGAGGTCCAAGGCGTTGCTTGCTTAATTACTAAAAGCTAATCAATTCCGGAGGAAGTAAAGTTTAAATTGCAAACTAAAGTATAGCTAGCTCCCGGACGTAACGCTGCAAAGCGATATTACCGCTCGCTGCATTCTGCAATTAGCCCGTGGTAAATCATTGAAAACAAATTATGGGCGGAACCCGCGGACGGTTGTTAACCCTCTTCTCTTTTCCCCATTGCCTTTTTCCCGGGATAATCTTCTCGGTGTATCTATAAAAATATTGCAATTTTATTCGTCGATACAACCAATCCTTCTGATCGCGCTAACGAGCCCAATTAATCCCGCTCCATTACGATTTTCCAACTCGAATCCCTTGATACGGTTATCAAAAAGTTTTTCCTCCCTGATGATTCGCCTCATTGAAGACCACTCGTTCGTTCGTGGCTCCTGCGATTTTTTTTTCTCCGAAAGATTTTAAGGTATCTAACGTATTCGCGATAATGCATAACAAACGAGATAGACAGTGTACGGTGGTTGATTTAAAGAATGAAAAATAAGAGTAGATACAAGGATAGAAGAAAAGAGAGGAGAGGACGGTTTTCAGATAGAAGGTAAAAAGAAGGAGAACGGAACGAGGTATACAGCCCTGAAAACAAGCAATAAAATCAATGTCGTTTCCGGCGATTCAATTCGCAAGACACATCGCACAATTTCACATACAATTTTACGGCAGAACGGCCAGGACTCCTATTTACTTCACGGCCGTCCTTTCCCACCCCCTCAATAACCGTTTACCGTCTCACCCTCGCTTGCTTCTTCTCCTTCTTTCTTTGAGCGGGCCGTTTTCTTTATCTTAAATTCTCGGGGAAAGCACAGCCCCGCGATCCTGTCGAACGAGATCGACGAGCCAAGATCCTTTTGAACAAATCGTGCCCGGTTAACAGTTGGAAAATTGAAGGTTCGAGGAAAAAAGAAAAAACCCCGAGAGCCGCTATCGCGATGCTCGCTCGATTTCGATGATACGATATGCTGATCAAACATCTCTGGTATGGTCGAATCGCAAATAAATAGCTCGTTCGATTCGAGGTGTATCCGTACTAGCGATCGGACATTTATGAAATCATCGAATATCGTTCTCCCGGTTTTAATTTCCTATTATTTAGAATCTGTCCGTCACAGTCACCGTGACATTTGTCAATCTCGAATTACCCTGGAATGGAGCGCAATGTATGGATTATGAAGCTGATCGAGTCGACGTCGCGTCGCCTCGCGTCGCCTGGTTCGCAATTAATTTTGAATCAGCAAGACGATTTGTCCCCCCGTCCTCTCCGCGGCAACGATAAATTTTAGAGTAAATTGGTAGAATTAATTGCACAGCGAGGTTCGTTCGTACAAGCTGCATCGAGCAAACGGTGTCTCGCTAGTGTAACGAGCGAGCTAACACAGCAGAGAGATACGGAATAGGCATCGATGTAAGGAAATATTTAAACGCGACATAATGAGCGGTCTAATTAGAGTTCGAGTCGCGATAATGGCGCAACGTGGATGTGTTTAGCTCTCGTTCCTAATGGACCTACTAATGAGTTTGTAATACGTGTTTATAACCTTCCTTCTTCTTGTTCCCTTAATCTCTCTGCTAGCCTGCTGGCTATCCCTCTCGAGCTTCGAAAGCCACTTCCACAATGGTTATCGTCCATCGGCCAGCTTCTATTGACGTTCCCCTTTCTCTCTTTCTCTCTCTCTTTCTCGCACGCTGGACTTGGTAACCGATCCCTCCAGAAATCACGCTGCCGGCGGTTCATTTATCAATAAAAGTATTGGATCGGTTGCCTGGAAGTGACGCCTCCGCTAACGAAACAAAGGAACTGGGCGTAGTTATCAATTGGATATCGGCTGCTCGATTAATTATGCAACGTAATGCGCACGCCTGTTCTCCATTATCTCGCACACGTACCGACTGCCTCGCGATGGATTTCAAGGTTATTAATGCTCTTCCGGGCATCGTTTGGCCCGGAGGACATCGGTCGACCGAATTTCTTTCGTTTGTCTCTGATTTTTCGAAAGCGTACAATCGAAGGGGTTGATGAACTCCTCTCCAAGAAGCAACCCGTCGCGTCGCGTCGTCTCGATCTTCCGATAATTAATGTCCAGTATGTTCTCGTTTCCTGCACCGGCCAATGTCTCGGATTTCTGTATGGATTCTCCAGCGTATAGAGAGGCTTCGACGATTATACCGGTGTCACGATACGAGCGTTGACCGCAATAATATCGCATTACCAAGATTAACGCGATCTCCAATAATAGATCGGACAGTGAGCAACCATGCTGGATTAGCTGACAAGAGAGAGCCCCGTACGCTTGTCCCGGCCATTATTCTCATTATTCGATGCCCATTAATAATCAGACTCGTCGCGTCATTGCTTCGCCCCCTTG